ACTTCATGGACTTGTGCCATGTTTTGGTCTGGCCGCCTCTAGCTTTCTTTCAATCTAATCCTATACAACAAAACATCGCACATCGAGGCAGTCGGTGGTTGGGCATACGTAACACGTGTCCCAGCCATCTCAACTGGTGAAGTTTTTCTACTTCATCAATCGATTTGCCATCCTTACCTAGTACCCGTTTCCTAACAACTGTGTTACTTACTCGATGGTCCCATGATATACGAGCAATGTTTCTAAGACATTTATGATCAAATACTAGTAACCTACGAATATCCTCTACTCTTACCGGTCATGTTTCACTGCCATATAGTAGGACGGATCTAACTGCTGCACAGTAAACCCGTCATTTGGTTGATAGACGGATATCTCGCCTACGCCATAAATGACGTAAGTTGGCAAAAGCTAGTCGAGGCTTCTGTGTCCATGCTGAGATTTCGTCACACACCAGACCACAAGGGCTGATGACACTTCCAAGATAAGTGAAGCGATCGACACGCTCAACTACTTCACTCCCTATCATTAGTTCGGGAGTCAATGCAACCCAATCCTGAAGCAACATTTTGCATTTCGAGGGAGAGAATCGCATCCCGAACATGCTTGCATTGCTGCTCAGAGTGGTCAGAAGACTCTGCATTTTGTCAGCGTCTTCACCAAATAAAACTATGCCATCAGCATATTCTAAGTCAACAAGTGAACCTCCCGGTAGAAGTTCAACCCCTGTAAATTTAGACGAGGAAAGTGTTATCTCTAAAAGTACGTCGACGACAAAGTTGAACAAGAATGGAGAGAGTGGACAGCCCTGACGAACACCACTTGAGGTAATCGATTCTGATGACAGTTCGCCGTGAGCTCTCACTCGACCAGTTGTGTTCGAGTAGAGAGCCTGTATCAGGTTAATGTACTTCTTTGGTACTCCTTTCAGTGACAAACACTGCCATAGAACCTTACGATCAACAGAGTCGAATGCTGCTTTAAGGTCGAGAAATACTACCATTGTGAGGCGTCTAAACGTGTGTCTGTGTTCTAGAACCCGACGTAGTGTGAATATCTGGTCTATACAACCACGTCCAGGTCGAAAACCAGCCTGATTTTCTCTAGTCTGTTCTTCACGAGCATTGGTTAGGCGTCGAAGTATTATTGAAACTAATATTTTGGACACTATATTAGTCAAACTGATTCCTCTGTGATTGTCACAAAAGGACTTTTGTCCTTTCTTATAGACTGGCACAATCAGTGATTGAGACCAGTCAGATGGGATTACGTCCAGTTCCCAAATTCTACCTAAGACTTCAGTTAATCTCGCTGCTAATACTGAACCACCAACATGTAGTAAAAATGATATTGCAAGATGTATCATATGCTTAATTCTGTATCTATTGATTGGATAAAACAAACAAATCAACACTATTCTTAAATCTTGACTCGATACTTTTAATGCTTAGAAAAACTTCAATCTAATGTTCCAATAGTTCAGGAATGAATTGCTCAAATAGAGTCTGTTACATTGTTGTGTGAAACGATTTCATCTATATATGGCTGGCTACATAGTAAGTAATTTTGCATGATAGCTAGTCAGATCACAGTGACAACACAAAAAGCCTAACCTTTTAATCCTTACCCTAAATATCTAATCGTAATCAAGAACAATATGTGAACTCTTAGAAGTCTGTTTGTATATTTCTAAGGATTGGAGAAGATGGATAGTCTTTATTCATAGCGACGAATGAGCGTAGTCTTTTTCCGACTTACAAATAGAGTAACCTGTAAACTTGATAGTTGAATATATTTCTTTCCCCATGTTAATATTCTTATTAAGACATGAATCCATCACCTTTTGTTCCAAAATCAAAACGTTATCCACTAAGCTACTGAGTTCGAATAGTTAACAGCTTGTTGGTTTGAAAATTTTTTTAAGAATTACATAATATCAGAAAGGGTTCTATGGAGATTGTAGTAATTTCAATAGCTGAGATCATGAGTCCATTGAAGCTAGATCACAATGGAAAACCCGGAAGCAACGGAAGGCCGTTCCACCCTATTCTGGGATTCCTCAGCAGTGCGCATCCACTATCCCGCTTGCGGTATTCAAACCCATGACCTTTGGTCTCGTGTGCAAACGCTTAATCTCTAGACCAATGGGCCAGCATCCCAACGGTGTTAATGTCTAACTCCAACCAATCCACGGAGTTGCGCGATCATCTTCCATTGTACTGAGGTAGATACCTGTCTTTACCTGATATGGATTAGCTGCACTGGATACAGTTTCTCACTAGAACTTCGAGAACTGTCTCATGATGCTAGTCACTAGTGAGCACATAATTGTTATTCTTTATAAAGAATGATTTCAAAACTAGTCTGTTAGGTACTTCGGTTTTAATTCACAATGATTGAAACAAATTCTAATGAACGTGAAATTGTACAATTGAATAGTTTAATAATTAATCAGTTATTTCCACAGACCTTCCATTTCTTTAACTTGTCTTTTACTAGTAACAAACGTCTGAAATATCATGTTGTCGAGATGAAAGACTTAATTACAATGACTCTTCGTTAACACATTCGCTCCTTGAATGTTGAATGAATTAATGGTTATCTAAACTGAGTAGACAAAGGTCTTGAGATTAAAAGCTGAAGTTAGTCGGATCGAGTACATACGGTAACTTCAGTATGGAGAAACAGGTACACCCAATAGATAAGTTGCAAATAGGAAGAAAATTGATCCCTGAATACTGTCTCTAGTGTGAATCTCATCTATACTTAACTAACATTTTCGAAATTTGATATATGTAACAAGTGGATCTAAAGTTTATGTAAATGATCATAAAGGACGTTACAAAAGACCATGATAAGATTTTTTGAATTTTGAACCAATGATCATACCGATTGTTCTAGTTGAGAGTCTAGCACTTAAAACGCAAGGAAATTGATATATACTTTCAATATTTCATACTCAAGAGTACCATGTGGTTTCTAAGCTTGAAATATCTAAATTATAGTTTTCTGACAATAGTGTAATAAAAGTGTGAAAATCAACTCTGAGATGCAGGTACATCCAGCTGACGAGTCCCAAATAGGACGAAACGCGCGTCCCGGATTCCACTGCTAGCCACTGTCCATCATTGCGTAATAAAAGTTAGTTGATATAAAAAATTTGATCCTGACGACTGTTCAATCTAACTGGCTTTATACACCCGTACATATAGACGTTGGATTGACATTTTCTGGAATGTATATGTTCCTTCTCTTTGAAGAATCTATGGTTAATCTGTGGAAATATACAATATAATTCCTACTTACTTCCCTCTGAATACAATGATTCAAATGTTTGAAGTTTGTGGGTTCAGCTTTCATACAGACCTGTTTTTATTCATTGTAAACGTACTTATCATGATGAATCTTTCAATATATATTCACACTTATGACCTTAATTTGATTATGAAGTAATAGATGACCGTTTAATCAATGTAGAACACCTCAGCGGTACGAACTTACAATCCATGTGGGGATCAAACCCAATAAACTATCGGAATTTCTACACAATCAGGTACAGTTCCAAATTCAGTCAACCGGAGGTATTTATCAAGTATAATTCCCTATTACTGATGTCATTTGTGAGATATCCAATATGATTGAGGTTTCCCAGGTACTACTTCTCACTGAAACGTCTCGAAACCTGCCTCTGGTGAGCAAATAATAATCATCACGATGAAAAACTTGTGAAATATAACTTCCTGTGACCGTTCAATTGAGACACACTTCTTATACGCTTACCGATTCAGTGATACCAATGAGATTAAGAAGTGACTAGAAAGCTAAGATTGTTAAATGAACTAAAATGGTCTACAAACGATAGGTGTACACATACATCTTTTATTGTGATCAAGACAATAATATTAGCTGAGACCTTGACTAGGTACATGATCAGTTTACAGTAGACTGTTTTGTTCATCATCTTACCAACTGTTTAACCTTGAGATATCATGTGAGCACAGTGGTGTGAAATGTCTAGACTCCTCCAGTCTATCGAAAGGATTAATTAATTTAAAGACAGTTTGCATAAATTCGTAATACCGAGCTCCATACTACAAAGTAATAGCTTCCAAGTGTCCTTAACTAATATTAATCCATTTATTTATTATTTATTTTAACACATACATATTGGTACAAGAAGGCACCAAATACATATGCGCCACAGAGATCTCACTTGATATGTGTGAGGGCTGTGATACTACCCAGGTGTCCAAACCGAACCAGGTAGTTTTCTTAGGGGACCACACCTGGAGCCTTCGACCTGAAGGTCTAATCCACAAGGCAGTGGAGCAACGTAAGAAGATGTAGTCACATGGTAGCCAGTGACCAACGTTTGGTTCATGCGCCATTTGTCCCTTCAGGATACTGGAGCCCATGTGCACCATTGATTTGAAACCAGGGTTTTCCAACTCCCCTAGGTGGACTCTCCATGTCCACCAACCCGGTTAAAGCGCCGGACATTCGCTTCTCGTCCTCTCAATTTCGTAAACAACAATAATGCTACGAGAGGTCAGTGAGTAGGACTTCCCTAGCAGAGGCTATATACGTGTGACCATGTGAGACCATTTCGAGAGAGAGAGAGAGCGGACTCTCCCCAACCTCGGCCGTACCAGGGCATTTGGGGGCATATTAAGATCTCATATCATCATCTTGTGATATGACATAAGAAAATAATATTTGAATAGATGATATGTGTCCATGATCTTACTTGTCTTCAAATCAAACAATCTCTACAATCCTCACATATTTATTGATCATTATAATTTAGTGAGATGCTTGGTATTCCATAAAATCTTGTTGGTATCACCCACCAGTGACTGGGCTTAAAATCATACGAACTCGATCATATAACTTATAAAATGTGATCCGTTATTTGTTCACATGGATATTCAATTTCAGTTCATCTCCGCGCTTAAAAAATCCCCTACAGAACTGAAAAATCAAACAAACCTAACAATAGTAAAAATCAAAAATTCTTCATTATACATATACATAGACTTACAATATTTTATGATATGTATACATATACTACTCCAGCGGAAGAAGAAATTAGGAAGAAGCTCTGGAAGTGGATATAACACACATTGAGGAAAGCACCCAACTGCATCACAAAACAAGCCCTCACATGGAATCCTCAAGGCCAAAGGAAAATAGGAAGATCAAAGAACACTTAACGCCGGAAAATGGAGATAGACAAGAGAAAAATGAACAAGAATTGGATGGAACTAGAAAAGGCCCAGGATAGAGTGGGTTGAAGAATGCTGGTCGGCAACCTATGCTCCATTAGGAGTAACAGACGTAAGATAAGATAAGAGATACATATACTACTAATAATTTATACACAATTCGTACAATTTTACAAAGATTGAAAAAAAGTGCAACAAATGAAATGTGAAGGAGATTTGCAAACAAAGCAAACACATACATACATTCATAGATATTCCAGTGGATATACTGTCGCTTATTTGAAGATGGATGATCAAAACCCTCATCGATCTTTTTTTTTGTCAAACAATAGTCGATTACATAAAAAAGTAAGTATCATCCTTACTTTATATAACTCATACATACCGATTACAGTTTCACAGACGGGTCATTTAAATAAACTTTGATTCCTTTCTTAAAAAGATCTCATATCATCATCTTGTTATATGATATAAGAAAATAATAGATGATATGTGTACATGTATTGTTTAGTGAGTAACTGTAAGAGAAATTACAAATCCCCTAGAACTCATCACTTAGAGGGAGGGGGGAACAAAGGAAAATAAGCAATTTCTACTTCTTCTTCTTCTTCTTCTTCAAAACAAACAAATACAAACATGGTTACAAATAAAACTGATTACTTTGTGAAAGATAAACAAATCATGCTTTGACTATTAATCAATTTTATGTAATGTTGACTTATTTATATAAGATTTATCATAATCATTCATTTGTTTAATGGTACCATTCTTCTCATGAAACAATTGTCCACCATTATGTTGTATTGTGTCAATGAAATGAACATTCTGTTGTTGTTGTTCTTGTTGTTGCTGCTGCTTCTGCTGTTGACGTTTCTCTAAACTTTTAGCTAATCGTTGTTTATGCCAATAAGCTTTAATATAGAAATTAGAGAATAATATTAAAAATACTGTAGCATATAATATAATAGCAGCTGGGAATATTTTAGGATAATTACATGGTGTAGATTGTACAAAGATTTGACCTTGATGAAGAATAAAAATAATAAATTGAATCATTTGAGCTAATGTTAAATAATTTTTCCACCATAAATAACGATTGGCACCAGCAGCTGCTAATCCATAATAAGTATACATAGCAACATGAATTAAACAATTGATCAATGGAAAGATAAATGTCATACCACCTGAAATGTTCAACAACAACAACAACAACAACAAAAAACATATATGATTATGGAATTGATTATTAAGACAATGGGATGTTTCAATATGAACTTTGACTGACTTACTTACTTACTTACTTACATCTGTTACTCCTCGTGAAGGGGCATAGGCCACTCACCAGCACACTCCATCCAAACCTGTCATGGGCAATCCTTTCCAGCTTCTTCCAGTTGTTATTCATCTTTTTTCATATCTGATTTTATTTCCCAACGAAATGTGTTCTTTAGCCTTCCACTTTTCACATTCCATTCAGGATTTCAAGTAAGGGCTTAAATCGTGATGCGGTTTGATGATTTGCGTAATGTATGTCCTATCCACTTCCATCGTCTTTTCCTAATTTCCTCTTCAACTGGAAACTGGTTTAACCTCTCCCATAGAACACTGTTGTTGATAGCATCCTGATAAAGAATGTAGAGTATGTTGAGTATACAGCTATTTATAACTACTTGTACCTTCTTGATCATGGTTGTAGTAGTTCTCCAAGTTTTAGTTCCGTATATTAGAACTGTCTTGGCGTTCGTATTGAAGATTGTGACTTTAATATTGGTTGACAGTTGTTTTGAGTCTGATATGTTATTTAATTGTAGGAATGCGGCTCTTGCTTTGCCAATCCTAGACTTGACGTCTGCATGAGATTCTCCTTGTATATCGATGATACTTTTCAGCTACGTGATTTAAAGGGTTACAAAATTACAAATATGAACTCAGCCACCATTCTGACTAATGTGAGTGTTGATTCACTTTAGAAATGATCAATCGATTTTTGTTAGTTTGACTTTGTGCGATTAATCGGGGATGTTATCTGCAACATTACAAATGTCAAATGAGTATGTCGCATGTCTTCGGGAAATTTCACGTATATTTAGGGGGTATGTGCTGCATATGATAGTCCTCTGGAATATTGGACTTCATTAAACTAATATGGACAAAGAAGATAGTTGTGTACAGACACTTGAAATGAAATTTTTCTGTTAAAATAACACTCCGATATGCAACATCCACTCATTAAATGAATGGGAAATTGTCTGCAACTATTGCATACAACACGTTTATTGAACAGTGGAAAACCTTGTAAATAATCCCTTGTTAATTGATTTCAAAGTCACACAAACTTGAGACTGACTTACTTGACATTAATGATAAAACCACAGTTTACATTGTTATATGCCCTGGTACGGTCGAGAGTGGAGAGAGTCCGTTCTACTTCTCGAAATACTCTCAGATAGTCACGCGTATACAACCACGCCCAGGGAGGTCCCACTCACTACCTTTTCGATTCCGGGGTGTTTCTTACGAAATTGAGAGAACGAAAAGCGAATATCCGGCGTTTTCACCGGGTTGATGAACACGGAGAGTTCACCTAGGGAAGTAGAAAAACCCTGATTCCAACTGAAACTAACAAATAGCGTATGGATCAATTATTGGTCACCGACTACAATGGGACTGCATCACCTTAAGTTGCTCCACTGACTTTTAGATCAGACCTTTAGGCGGAAGGCTCCAGGTGTGGTCCCCTAAGAAAACCACCTGCTTCGGTCTTGGTACCCGGGCAATATCCTAGTCCTCACATAAATCGAATGATTTATGTGAGGAAGCATATCTATTTGATGCCTCCTTGTACCAATGTTTATGTTTTCAAATAAATAAATAAATAATACTTTCAAATAATGCTTAAAATGAAAACGACAAATTGGTTCGTGGCAACATAGAGTAAAACTAGTTATGTTTGGCTTTTTCTTATATAGACTATATCTAACAGATAAATCGAATCTGTTCCTAAATCCCAACATTAAATCGTTAATCATTAGCTTAAATAACTAACCCTAACCAAGAACAATATGTGGACTCGTTAAAATCTATACGGGTCGTTATAAGGATTGGAAAGGATCAATAATCTATATCCATAAAGACGAATTCATATGCTTTCATAGTTGGAAAAATCTATTGAAAATTCTTTGTAATATTATTGTCTTTTTCACACAAATAAGTCACTTAAAAAGACTGTTTTCTGATTTGGAATAAAACTGACTGAAAATTCTTCGATTGAGATCATAAACCGATTGATGTTAGACCATCATTGAAAACCTGGAAGCACTGGACGGTCGTTCCGTCCTAGTTTGAGACTCCTCAACAGCGAGCATCTACGACCCCACTCGTGGGATTCAAACCTAAGGCCTCCAATCCCGCACGAACGCTCAACCTCTAGATCACTGAGTGGGCAATCCAGTGGTGTTAATGTCTAACCTCACCCAATCCACGAAATCGCGCAACCATCTCCCACTGTACCGAGGTAGGTACCTGTCTCTAACCGACACGGATTATCTCCACTGGTCACAGCTTCTCACTAGAACTACGAGAATTCCTTCACGAAGCTAGTCACTAGTGAGCACATGGTAATTATCAGTATAGGGTTGTGGAAATTATTAAGTTTTTGATCATGAATCGCTCAATATGCACTGTTGAGGAGTCCCATACTAAGATGAAACGACTGTCCAGTGATTCCACGTTTTCAAGATGGTCTAACACCAATTGATTCATGATCTCAATCAAAAACTTAATAATCTCCACAACCCTATACTGAAAATTCTTCGTAGTTACATAAGTTATGAAACAGGAATACCGTTACATAGTTCTCAAAAATTACAGTGTTCAACATATTAGGTCATCACTTCCAAGCATAGATATTACACAAGGCATGAATCATATAGTTTTCATATCAATTCCCTTAATAAACTCATAAAGAGATACTTTATTAATGGTATACTGAATAAAGAGTAGGTTGATAAACTAGAACTGATAACATTGATAACGGAAAACCTCAACAACAAAACACACAATCCAATAATACTAACCAATAACTATTACATATGAACTGAAAGCCACTATTTCAAAAATATACATATACATTCATCAAGAAGGGCATTTCACAGAACAAATTTGAGTCACTTTATCAAGTGGTGAGTATAAACGATTTCAAGTAGTCAAGATGATCAACACTCGTACACATAACAACTCATCACCTTCCTACAATCATGGATTTTGTGAAATAAGGTTTTAAATGATGTCTATCATGATATCAGATCGTGGATTCTTTAGTATTCACGATAGTGAAGTGGATATTTTCTTTAAAATGATACAACTCATCGTTTATCGCAATGACTCATTTACTGATGAGATTTTACAGCACGTAAATTTTGTGGTTCTTAATGATCTCGGTCTTTTCTTCTCTAGTAGAGAGGTTGTAAAGATTAAGTTTTTGACTGAGATCATGGACCGATTGATGTTAGACCACCGTTGAAAATCTGGAAGCACTGAACGACCGTTTCGTCCTATTGTGGGACTCGTCAACAGCGCGCATCCACGATCCCGCTCGAGGGACTCGAACCTAGGGCCTTCAGTCTCGCTCTCTCCGCTAATTTAATACATTTTCAATTGTGTTTTTACAAATAGTGGTCACTTTAATCAGTGCACTTTTTGTTCTGCAGCATGTATTCCATATCATGAATAGAAAAAAGATATACTTACTAGGTCACATTAGATAGAAAAGTCAATCGAAGAACATGTGATATCTCAAAAGTCAATTACAATTTGAGTGCAACTTAATCAATTGGTCTATATATGTTACAGATTTTTTAAGTGAACAATGAAATACTATAAGCAATCATCGAACCATTTTACAACATCCTTCTCAAAATCTATAAAACTCATAGTAATAATTGATTGAAATGAGATATGCACAAAGACAGTGTTCCACAAACCATAATTCTTTTGATTATTATGTAACAATCATTATTTCTTTTCCAATTTCTCACGAACAAGTGATCTTGATGGAGTTTTCTTCTCTGACATGGATCGTTTGGTCGTGGAGATTTCATCCTTCTTCCCAACGATATTATCTTCACCATCTCAACAAGTGATGTACTAGACACTTAGAACTAAATTGTAAATTGGTGGACAGTCACGTTTCAATAATAGAAAGACGACTTTGGTGTCAGATGATTGTAGTTACACAATCAGATGTATTTGCCTTAATTATCATTCATCATCCCTGAATTGTCCAATGGTCATGAAAGTCACCTGTAATGTAACTTATTCATCAAGCACATTTCCGTGTTCACCTTTCATCAAATGGATTACATAGAAAAGGAACATTTTCTATACTCATTTCACCTTAAGTAATGAAGACATAAACCCAATACAATAAATGAGCAGCAAAGGTATGTCTAAACAAATTCATGTTTAGTATACATCATAACAATGGGTCAGTTGAAGATTCTCGTTAGTTATCAATATCTAACAGAATCTAACTCTTACATTGAGAAATTAATTTGATCATATTCGAAGTACTTATTAATTTGCTAAATATGGTTTTCACACACGCACACACTATCTGGGAAATCTCCATCTCAAAATGCGTTCACATGGCCACACGTATACAGCCACTGATAGGGAAGTCCTAATCACTGACTTCGTGTGAAGAGGGTATTGTTTACGAAATCGAGAGAACGAAAAAAGTATGTCCGACGCTTTAACTGGATCGGTAGACACGGAGGATCCACTTAGGGGAATCGGAAAATACTGACTACAAACCAATACTAAACATGGACTACAGGATTCTGAGGGAACAGATGGCATATCAGCCTGTTGTTGGTTACCGGCTACCATTGCTCCACTGCTTTGCGGATTAGACCTGTAAGTCGAAGGCTCAGGATGTTGTCCACTAAGAAAACTGCCTGTTTCGGTCTGGGCAGTTTCCCAGCCCGCAAACATATTAAGTGACTTGTGTGACACATATGTATTCGGTGCCCGTTTGTACAAATATTGATGTGTTCAAACAAATAAATAAATAAATAAGTCACTAGATCTCATAATCTATACTCACTTAGGTCTAGTCAATATTAACTATCTATATAGACAAGTAAAAACTTTCCAACGTTTAATTATGAATGTAAATTAATTTAAAGAAAACGATGATTGTTGAACTTACCCGGTGCATATTTTACTCCCCACCAAATTGATGGTGGCATAGTTGCATGATGAAATACATGTAGAAATGTGACTTGATCAACTTTACCTCGCCATAAGAAAAAAACAGTATCTAACAATTCTACAAGTTTAGAAACATAGAAAAAATATCCAACCCATACAAGTATATCAGTTCTTTTATCATTAGGATCTGGTAGTTCTGCACAACCTAATCCATAACCCAAATTATATACAGCCCACATAGTACTGAATGAGATAATAGCAGAATAGATAACCATTATCACATTATATAGAATCATAAGTTGTTTAATCATGTTATTCGATGATGTTTTAGTATTTTTCATGATAGAATTAAACTCCTCTTTGTTTTTAAGTTCATTTTTATGTCTTTTCAAACATTCAGCTTTCCATGCATATACTCCAATAACATAAGTTAATGTAATTAAAGCTGTAGGTGTCCATGAAGACATTAAAGGAAATGTATCCAATCTAGGATCTGGTTTCGGTGGTAACAATCCTTTTGATAACCATTCAAAGATACTCATCTTAAAACAATATTTTAATGAACTAATTTGAAACCTCAGAAAATCTATGATGACCAAGTGTTAAATATTCATTTTTGTCTAAATCTAATTGGATAATGATTTTTGATTGGTCAATTTTGAATGACTCATAAATGAATAACCAATCAAATTCAAGTGTATGTTATCTGTGCAAAATTAGTAAAGAAATCGATAAAGGTTAGTAAATTAATGTAAGCGTGGTAATATTTTGGTGGCTAACAGTGTTGGTGGGCGGTCTATGCTCCTCCATGAGGGTTAACAGGCGTAAATAAGTAAGTCAGTAAGCAAGTAAGGAAGTAATGTTATATCTTCTAAATTTTACTCAATTTTATCTTACTGTTGAAGTAAACATACTAGTCTAATGTAAAACACTTGTCAGTATGAGGTTGTAGAGATTATTATGTTTTTGATTGAGATCATGAACCGATTGATATTAGATCACCATCGAGAACCTGGGAGCAATGAACGGCCGTTTCGTCCTATTGTTGGTCTCCTCAGCAGTGCGCATCCACGATCCCGCTCGCAGAATTCGAATCCAGAACCTTCGGTCTCGCTCACGAACTCCTAAGCTCTAGACCATTGAGCCGGTACCCAATGATGTTAATGTGGATGCGTATTGCTGAGGAGTCCCATACTAGGACAAAACGGTTGTCCAGTGCTCACAGATTTTCAATGTTAGTCTAACATCATTCAGTTCATGATCTTAATCAAAAAGTAAAACACTTGTGTTTTCATATATGTTATAGTAGTTATCAATATTATATTCAACTCTAGTGTTAATTTTCTGTTATCTCTCCATTCTTAATAGTTTTCCCTAAAATAGCTTTTTCAAATCTAACTATAATTCAAAGAAATTTCATGAAAACGTCTTATTGAAGTGGAAATTGTCGATCTTTTTTTTCACTGATTGAAATCATGAGTCAATTGAAGCTAGACCACCATAAAAAACCTGGAGGCACTGGACGGCCGTTTCGTCCTCGTATGGGACTCCTCAGCAGTGCGCATCCAGTCTCGCGCCAGGCGCTTAAACAACTAGACGAACTAGACTGATAGGTCCTGGGTTCGAATCTCACGGGGTGTGGGATCGTGGATGCGCACTGTTGAGGAGTCCCATACGAAGACGAAACGGCCATCCAGTTCTTCAAGGTTCTCCATGGTGGTTTAGCTCCAACTGACTCATGACTTTAATCAGTGAAATTTCTAAAATCTCCACAAAACCCCTTTTGATCTTTTTTTGTTTAAAATTTCTTTGGGAAATCATATGCATTGAATCGTCTTATATTAATTTGACTTGTACATTACTTATCAAATGGTTGTATTCATAGTGTAATATCTCAGTTAATCATATAGTCGATACATATATATATCTTGAGGTTGTACATTTCGTCTTAACTTATCAACTCTTCCTGTTTCTTGTTCACAGTAACTAATGTTACACTCAACCCATTAATCATTACCAGAGTTTTATCAATGAGATTAGTGGGTTATAAATAACTGTCACGTTCACATGTTCATCAGATATACCAATATCATCGAGTTGATTAAAAGTTATATTAATGGATTACTACTTTGTTATCAACTATTTTCAAAGGTTTTCGTAAAAAGCTAACAACGATAAATGGTATTTCAAAAATCTGTTATGCAAAGTTTAGACGCTGAGCTGCAGTAATCCCAACACTTCACCTTTCAAGACTATTTCAAAATCCAAGGATGATAATTGTTGATTAAAGCAAATATATCTGATTGTTTAATTACAATCACTTGACACCAAAGTCGTCTCTTTATTATTGAAACGTAACTGTCCACCAATTTACAATTTAGTTCTAAGTGTCTAGTACATCACTTGTTGAGATGGTGAAGATAATATCGTTGGGAAGAAGGATGAAATCTCCACGACCAAACGATCCATCTCAGAGAAGAAAACTCCATCAAGATCACTTGTTCGTGAGAAAAATGATGATTGTTATATAATAATCAAAAGAAATATGGTTTGTGGAACATTGTCGTTAAGCATATTTCATTTCAATCGGTTATTAACATTAGTTACATAGTTCATTGTTATATTTTGAGAAGGATATTGTGAATCGGAAAACAGTGTTAGTCACAATATTTTTCAGTCGTTCGATGACTAACAAACAGGACATTGGTTATTCTCCTATATTCATAAATCGATGGAAAGTTGATAATATATTGAGAGCTACTACATCTTTGGCACAAAAATATTACCCGTCTACATCAACTTACCATTCAGTGATGTGTCAAATAGCCTTTTTTACATAAGCTTTAGTCAGTTATTAACCTCAGGCTGACAAACTTCTGTGATAAAACAAGCTTAAAAATAATGAACAACATCAACAAACCTATGATAAAGAGACATACCTGGGTCCACTCGGGCGCAAATACAAGTCTAATGATAGACCTCACAACAACTGAAATTAAGTCAAATCTCGTATGTGACATACATGGTTGTCAATCCACTGAAGCTATTTCAGACAACAATGATTAGGTCAGGTAAAACTCCAAATAATAGATATCGTAAACTTAAGACTAATCGCCAAACAGCAAAAACACCAATTTATCCATCAACTAAAACACACACAGTCAAGCTAGTACAACTTCTAGATAAAACTCAGAATCTACAACATATAGAGAATGTCCTCATCCAAGCTACAAATAGAACTACTTCTTTAAGTCAATCCCTAAACTCTAGCAAGAGATAGTATATAACCGGTTGAAAGCTGTAATATAACAAAATGGAATGGTTAAACAAGGCAGCCGAAGAGAGTGTGCTAAACTACGTAAAAGCTTGCAAGAATGTTTACAAAAAGACAAGAGAAGCGAAAAAAACCTATATTCTGGACGAAATGGATGAACTAAACACTCTCTTTCAAGACATAAAAAACATCAATCATATAAACTACTCAAATAAATACTGACTACCATACGGAACCAGTCATATGACAGTTATAAAACGAAGTAGTACTTTTACAAGACTATCAAATACTGCTCAACCGCCAAATATCTACTCCTATCGAAAATCCCGGTCAACCAAGGCAAACAGCTGAACCCCCACTAACCTTGAGAGAACTAGAGCATTCCATACACCAAACCAAAAACCATAAATCCCCAGGTTATAATGGCATAACTACAGAAATGGTTAAGCTAGATTGAGTAAAGCTAGAACAATGCTACTACAACTAATTAATAATGTGTGGCAAAACCCAAATGAAATTGCAGCCCTGCAGGCATCATCAGCATCTATAAAATCAAAGGACTACTCAGTGTCCCCAATAAATATCAAGGTATATTCCTACTTGACACGATAAGAAAAATATTTACTGGAATTTCTGTAAGCAGTGGACATCAACTCTGAGATGCAGGTACATCCAGCTGACGAGTCCCAAATAGGACGGAACGCGCGTCCTGGATTCCACTGCTAGCCACTATCCATCATTGCTTACAAAAAGCTTGTGAATTAAGGCAATATCGGAGCATACGCACAGTATGCACATATGCCAATAACAGACTGATTAATTGCAGTCTTAAACCTCAATGGGAAGATACAAGCCTAACAATAACAAGTGAATTTACTGGAATGATTTGTGAAAGACTGAAACAATTAACCGAAATAAATCTTCCACCAGCCAAACTCAGATTTCGAAGGCATCTATCGACCATACATATGATTGCAATGACAAGACATATTGTACAGTGTGCCTTGAACATCAACCAAGAACTAATATTAACGTTTATCGATTTTACTAAAGCTTTTGATTCCTAACCGAAGAGATTGATTCTAGACACACTACCACTCTTCAGTTTTGCCTTTCAAGAAACTCTCAGTTACACAATAGATCAAATAACAACTGGCGTTAAACCATCTGATAACAATAACACAACCTCGACATTGTAGTATATTGAGTATGCTGATGATCTGTCTCATTACAACAACGGCTGATGAAACCATCAAAGCCTTTACTTCTCTCTGAAATCACCTGACTAAAATTGGAATGCAACTTTCCTACAACAAAACCAAAGTAAATGGTGATCAATATACAAAGTAATAATCTCAAAACAACCGATGACAATCACAAGTTTGAGGTAACGACATTCAACTACCTTGGACCAATCATAAGAATTGATGGAACACCTGAGCTTGAGTCCACAGTCCTAAGAAAAAGCGACGGAAGTAGATTAGAAGCAATCTTAAATGCTGCACGATTAATGATTCTAGGCATCAATCTCAAAAAGCAACTTACAACTGTAGTGACCCACTTTTAACAACAGAACGCGATTGGTGTAATGGAAACAATTACTATTACAACCAATTGTACCAGGGATTGTTTTATTGTACTTGTTTGTTTAACTACTAAAAACACACATTCTTCCGTTGCTTGTGACCTTGCACGAACTTACGTTCGTTCAGTAGTTCCACTTGTACTCCTTCTGCACGATCTCGGTATTCTTTCGATACCACGAAATCGCCAACAAATATATCTTGCTACAACCTTCAATCGCCTTCTGATTTCTGGTTTACTCTGAGGTTTAGCCTGTTCTGGTACGCAATCTTCTTGTAGTGGTGATCATAGTCAACCGTGACTCAACGCCACACTACACAACTATCCTACTGTATAAAAGCATAACACTCCCTAACCTTGCACTGGAAATACTACAAAAGAATCTAAACCTGTAGAATGCAGTACATGAAAACCTGTAGGGTCAATATAATGTCACTGAGCCCTAGCCAAATCATCCGGCAGTTGGGCGAATTAATATCGAACAGATCAACGATCTCTTTCAAAGTCAAGGACAGCCAACGCGCATCAGTTAACCGTATGCTATGGACTGGCCTATGTGATGGTGGTCTCGCTATCTTCTCTTTACTCATTCTTACTAAAATATTTGCGTAGTACTGTTCTTTATGTTATATGGTCTTCAAAGCAGCCTGCAAAAACAGCTATTGAACTACGGTAGTGGTGCCGTGCTTCTATGCATGCCTTTTCTCCAGAAGGGCTTACCGTCTTCACTAACTACGTCTGGCTTGAAAGGACACCTAAATCAAATTAAATCAAATGAAACAATAAGAGTAGATGATAAACATTCATTATCCTCTGTTGCAAAATATATAGTTGAAGCAGGTCATTAGATTGACCTTAACACGGATTTGTGAAGTTGTATAGAAAGTTAAAAGGTGAATGCTTAAAACAGTTTGTTCTTACCTTAAATCTACCTTGGTAATATTAGTTAATTATTTTTGCTT